TGCACTGGAGACGGTAAATTCCTGCCTTGGCCTCCGCATCCAACTGTATATGCAGTGGGGGGAGTCCAAGAAGTATCTCCAGTGCAGCTGTTGGAGATGTTTGAAATGCTCCTGTTATACCTAAGCAAGCCAACCTTTGCAATTTGCCAAGTTCTGTCTTGCTTGTCTTGAATTTAACTCTGGGCCACCATACTGTGACACCATAAGTAATTATGGGTCTCACAACCGCAGTGTATACCCAATGTACAACGTTTGGCTGTAGTCCCCAAGTTTTACCAAACATGCTTCTGCATGTCCAAAAAGCCATATAGGCTTTATTGATGACCTTGTCCAGCTGCTTTTTCCATGTCAGTCCCTTGTCTAGTATTAGACCAAGGTACTTGACATCGCTGGAGAGCTGGGTTGTCTTATTGAAGAGAGTCGGTTCCTTAAGACCCTTTATATTTCTCTTCTTAGTAAACGGTATAATTACCGTCTTGTTGGGATTGATGGAAAGACCTGTTCTTTCACACCATCGTTGGACCATGTACAGAGCTGTTTGAAGACTCTCTGATACGGTCGAAAAAATTTTCCTTTTATGAGGATTGCTATATCATCAGCATATCCCACTGTCTAATACCCATCATCATTAAGTCCCCACAGGAGATCGTCGATGACCAGACTCCACAGCAGAGGCAAGAGTACGCCCCTCTGCGGACATTCCCTAGCCATGGACACCCCCAGGGTCTCTCCTGATAATGTAGCAGCTATGGTTCTGCTTTCCAGCATAGCATTGATCCGCCTGCATATTGCAGGCTCTATGCCATGCCTTCCAGCAGCCTGTTTGATTACATCAAATGAGGTCCTATCAAAGGCTCCCTCTATATCAAGGAATGCTCCAAAGGCAATATCCTTATGTTCAATTGCACTTTCTATGCGTGTTACCACATTGTGTAGTGCACTTTCTGTAGATTTACCTGTTTGGTAGGCATGCTGGTTTCGGTGTAGAGGATAAGTCCTCAATGCCCAGTCCCTAACATGCCTATCTACTGGTTTCTCCATTGTTTTCAAAAGGAAAGATGACAGGCTGATAGGATGATAATCCTTAGCCTCGGTATAATCAAGTTTCCCGGGCTTTGGAATAAATGTCACCTTAACTTGCCTCCATGCCATGGGGATAAAACCATATGCCAAGCAGGCTCTATATATGCGGCATAGGTGTGGAACTAAAAGTTCTGCCCCATGCTGCAAAAGTGCTGGTACAATT